AGGAAAAAACACCAGAACTGGGAAATGCAGTGTCCTTAGCTTGGTCTGTGAATTGGGAGGACTTGCTTGCTGCTTGTGTAGTGCTCCTCCTGTCTTTTTCATACCTCTTTTGTGTGACTGGGACTAACTCTGCTCAGTAATGTCTAATCTGGAGTTTTACTCCACTGGTTGAACCCCTCCAGATGAAACTTAACTGGCTTCAAATTAGGTTCTGTAAACTGTTCCTGTTAAACCTGTAAGCTGAATTTGGAGCCTTAAAAGACTAAACAGTACAAACTTTTAAGATACAGTTTTGACCTGCTCCACTACCAATTAATGTACTTCATATAAGCTATCAATTAATTGTCAAATTACATTAGGAACTAACTTCCTTACCACTCTCTGGGGACACTTTTGGCAGTTAGCAAAATGCACTTGTAGGAGGTCTGGCTTTTCTTTCTCTGAAGGACAGTGTACCAGAGGGACCATTAGCTTCCAACTAATGCAGAAGGTTTTCCTGCTCCATTTTCCATACTCTGGTGACTTCCACTGGTTTCTTGCTGTGCCTTCTGTTTATACATACAAATTGGAAAAAAAAAAAAAAAAAAAAAGCAGCAGCTTATTTTTTTTAATCCACAGCTGGATACCTTATAAACATTCCTCAGAATAGTTACCAGTTATTCCTCTGGGCTTTTTATTTAAAAGGTAAGGTAACTATCAAGCAATATTTTGTACCCATCTGCCTCCCATGTGTCTTGAGAAATCAAATACCTCCATATTGCACGGTGCTGCCTGACTGCTATTAATATAGTCACAATATCATCCCAATGCAGGCAAGGAAAAATAATCTTTTATGACTTTTACAGGCCACTAATTCATCTGGAGCAATATATGCCATCAATACACAACTCAATTACTGCATAAAAGGTTAGACAGCAATGCATCACACTGTATTAAATTTAAAAAAAAGATAACATTTAATCATCAAGCATCACTTAGAATATACATTTATTTTTAAAATTTGCTTGGTCAAAGTAATAATTCTACTTTCCTTCCACCTGATACTCATTTAAAACCATGAATTACAAGTGTTCAGTCTCTTCTTTTCCAAATCTGAACTAGTCTTTCTCCATGTTACTGTGTGCCCATCTAACATCCCAGGTATGTTCCTACAAGCTGTGTGCAATGATGTTTCAGCTGAGTCCTTGAGGACTACAATCTGAGACAAGCAAGCTGCTCTTTCAGGATCTGGCCAGTGGGGAAGCAAGTGCATGAAAAGGAAGGCTGTGTGATGAAGATTCTGAAGATTTGCTTCAACTCCAGGCTAGGCTTTGTATCTGACATTAAGACACTTCACCTACCTTAGGCATATCCTCAGCTGGCAAAAATTGCTGTAAAGTCACAGCATCAGTAGTGCTATGTCAGCTTTATACCAGCTGCTGAGCTACTTTTTTCCCTGTAAATTCCCTCACTAATAGTGATGGCTTATTTGCATTTACTAGGGCACTGTTTGCTTTCTTTGTCCCCAGGTATATCTTTTTCTACAAAGACTGTAACTTGCTTAAGGGAAGGAATATCCTCTTCCTCTGTGTTTGTACAAGACACAGTACAAAAGGGACCTGATCTCACCTGGAGCCTCAAGGCTTTGTAATATTGGTTATTCTTTAGTAATAACTAAACATTACAAGCTTTTCAGAAATCAGTGGTAACTCTCCCTTAGTTTGTTTTATTTAGTGGGCTGTAAGAAAATAAGTTTGGAGACTCCCCTCTCTGCTGCCCACAACCCTGGAGGACAGCAGAATATAGGATTTGTGGTAGAGCAGTGGTTTGTAGACAACCACATTTTTGTCTGCTGTTGTGTATTGGCATGATGTGCCCCACCTGAGAGCATTAAATCATTTGAAAAATAATGCATTGGACATTCAGCACACTTCAATGCAGATAGTTTCAAGATCCACTTTAGTGACAGGGGAACCCAGCTGACACCAAGTTAAATAACTTACCCAAAATCACATGCTGGAGATCTGTCTTATGGAGGATGCATTGCAACACTCTTCATCAAATCTGCAGTTTTTGTGCCATGCAGTAGGAATCAATAACATTTCCACAGTCTGGATGTGAAATACTCAGTGTCCCTATTCACTGGTGTGAATTAATTACTAACGCACACCGTGGGAGCTCTCACTGTCTTTCCACACAAGCCTTATGCTGCTGAGCACAGGTGCTGACGCTCAGCGACGAGACCCACAGCCTCACTTAAAAACACTAAGTCCCTGCAGTGAAGAGTGGATGAACGCAAGGTGTTTGGGTTCCATCTAGTGGTTACAAGCTCACCAGCAGATGTGTCTCCAATGGGCTGCTTTGACTACATGCCTCTCCCAGCAGCATCCAAACAGCCGTGAAGTAACACATTATAATTATATCATCAACACGTATTCGGTTCCTAACTTTATTTCTAGACGGGCTTTGGCCTCTTGCCTCTCTGAGTCATTGACACTGGCAGGTTAATGCCCTCTCCCAGCCACTGCTTTAGCTTTGATCCTGGGACTTGTGGGCCAGGAACCATCACACAAGGAGAAAAGGTCCAGCCCCATACCCCAGCTGTGGTACAGCTGGAAAAGGAGATAAGGAGGACTCAAGCAACAAATTCTTGTGCTTTGCACTGACAGGATGAGATATTATGGGTCTGATATTAAGCAGAGAAGAATACAGCCTGCAAGTGGTTCCTGACGGTTTTTACCACATTCATTTTCCATCCTTTATGGCTGGATATGTGTGGATTTTTTTAAACAATCTAAACATTTGCTTTAAGTTGAATCCTAACTTCACTTTCCCTAGCTTTATTTTTCCTTCTTTAAAAACTCTTTTAATTTTCCTCTACTATTAGATTACTCCACAGGCTCTAAATGATAGTAATCTTTCATCTAGCCCAAAGAGCTGCAAGCAACTCCTGCAGATTTGCAGCACCCCACTGTCTCACAGCAGGAGGGGATTAGTGAAGAGAGACTGGGGAGCTCAAGAGACTTGTAAATATTCGGCAATGTTTGTAAAGACTGCTAATAGAACAAATAAGCACCAGGATAAAACAGCTGTAGCAGAGCATGCTGGTCACTGTAACAAGCAGCTTTAGCTGATGGCTGGGAGGTTTTGGCCTGCACAGAACAAGAATGCTAAGAGAAAATTGTAACCTTGAACAATTCAGACAAAAGGGACCTGGCTAATGAGAATATTGGAATACAGAGGTCAGTCTGTCCTTCACAAGTTCAGACAGATAGCTAGATAGGAAGAGCAGCAGACAAAGTCAGCTGGCCTTGAAAAAGGCCTTTTTCAAGCAAGCAAGAGAACCTGAAAGCCCAGAAAAAGGGGTATCTGCAACTACAAGGAAGCCTGAGGCAGTGCAGCAGAGCAGGGCCCAGATGCAGATGTGGTTTTAGAGGGGACAATAGGCAGTGCTAGAAGGATCAGCCTCTGTAAGAAAACACAGAACATGCTAGTCCAGATGGGGCTGATAGGGACAACACATCCTTTCCACACTCTCCTATTCTCTGTGAACCTGCATCTATGTGACTGCAGGATCACAGTCCTTCGTAGACTATCAAAGGTTTCAGGCTGAAACCTTTAACAGAGGGTGGAAGCTGTTAACACTCCTCCTCTCCCCCTTACAGAGTCACTGATAATTCAGGCTGGAGGGGACTTCCAAAGTCTGGTCCTCCAGCAGAGGAGGAACTGATAATTCAGGCTGGAGGGGACTTCCAAAATCCTCCTCTTCACAGCAAAGCCATCTTCAAGGTTAGATTTTGTTCAATACCTTTTCTAGTGAAGATCCCAATAACTCCAAGGCTGGATTTCCAACAGCCTCCTAGTGTTAGACCACCCTTACTGGGAAGAGGTTTTTTCCTCATATCTAACTGGAATATCTTTTGTGTAGGTCTGTTGTATCTTGTCCTTTCCCTGTGCATCTTGAGAGTCTAGCTCCTTCTTCAGTTAACTATCTCCCTCCATGCTTTTCATAGTAGAATACACAATAGGGTCAAACCCTCACCTTCTCTGCTCCAGGCTGGACAGATCGAGCTCTTCGGCCTTTTCTCACATGTCATGTGTCAGAGCCTCACCCAGCTCAGTGTTCTCCCATTATTCTTTCACCAGTGTTTCATTATCCCTCTTATTATCATTATCCCAGGGGGACCAAACCTGGGCATAGAACTCCAAATGTGGTGTCACTTGTGCCATGCAGAGGGGAAGAATTGTTTCCCTGGGCCTGCCAGCTACACTTTTACTAACAGAGTCCATAATGTTGATGGGCTTCTTTGCCTCATGGTCAACTGGTTGTGCACTAAGAACCCTGGGTCCTTTTCTGCACAGCTACTGCTTGGACAGTCAGCCTCAGGCTGGATAGTTGTATGGGGTTACTGCCTTCCAGGTGCAGGACTTTGTTTGCATTTGCTCCCATTGAACTTCATGAGATTCTTGTCAAGATTTCTCTAAGTGGCAGGCCTACTTCTCAGCAAAGCAACTTGCTCCTCTCAGTTTCCCATGATCTGTAAGTCTGATAAGAGTGTGCTCATCGTTTAACAAGTTGTTAAACATGATGTTAAATTAATTTCCAGGAGGGTTTGCTCCATAATTTTCTAGGGGACTGCAGCTTGAACTGAGGTTATTTCTACATGAAGAGCCTTTCAACTTTAAGGGTTTGCCCTACAAAGTTTTCCCTAGTGCCTCTTTGCTCTGACAAAACCCTTTTCTCTGAGAAAAATGAGAACCAGAGCTGAAAACTCTCCCTCTCTTTTCCTTTTACCACCAACCATGAGAATGCCATTTGTACTGAGAAGTTTTCTTTTTGGTTTAACACTACTGTATGACAACAGTATGACAACAGCAAGACACTTTTTGGGGTCCTCATGTCCCAGCCTTGGCAAATGACCTGAAGAAGCTCATCTCTTAGGAAAAAAATAAAATTAAAAAAAAATATGAGTGAACACAGGGAGTGTATGGATTAAATACAAAAATTATCTGGAAGGCAGATGGCCAAAACTAATAATGTTAAAGAAGAAGGTGGTCATGACCCAGATCAAACACTAATTGGGGAATTTCAAGGAGATTTTGAAACAAAGAAGCAGCACCAGAAGTATAAGTATGAAAATTTGTAAGAAGAGAGGAGAGACCTTGGACTGGAAACAGCAGCAAACCAAAACCAGGTTTGGCACTGTCTGAAGTCACTGTCAGCATCTTGACTCCTGTTTAGGTCAGACACAATAAATGCTAGTAGGGGAACCCTAACTTCCGGATGGATGAGCAGGGTGGCTTGTCCTGAGAGAGGTTTGTGCAGCCACCTGTGTGACTCTGTCACAGTTTAGGCCCAGCTGGTAACAACCAGGACTCCATTCACTCATCTCCTACACCCCCCACTGCAAGATAGGCAGAGAAAATCCAACTTAAAAGATCGTGAATCAAGACAAGGACAGGGAGGTTTTTCACTACCTGATTATAGTAATGGGCAAAACAGACAGACTCGACTTAGGGAGAAAAAAACCCAACTAATTTCTCAGAATAGGAGAAAGAGAAAACAAGACCCAATCTAAAATACCTTCCCCCCTCCTCCTTTCTTCCCAGGCCCAAATTACTTCACTGCTGTCTCCTCCTCAGGCAGCACAGGGGGACAGGGAGTGGGGGTTTCGGTAGTTACTGAGATTTTTTAAGTGCCTAGTACTCTGGCTTGTTTACCTGTTGGATCACCGTTACTGATCTTGAATTTATAGATCACTGATTGCCAGTCAAATATGTGCCTCAAATAATTTATAAACCTCTTTTGGTCCTGATTTTTATTTAAATTATTTGAACTGAGCTCTTTTTCCCTGAGACAACCCTCAGAGCAAGGATTATCCCAGGTGCACTGACCTCCTGACAATGCCCTCTGCCTTCTCCCATAGCGGGTGTCCCAAGTGGCACTCAGGCC